TGCCAACAGAAAACAGTGCAGTTGTTGCTGTTTCCAAAGAATACTCTACACACAAAGCAGATGAAGTAACATGCACCAGGAGTTTCTGCAAATTTCAGTAAGTTGAATGTAGGACTTTTATAACTTACTTTAAAAAAACATGAATTAAACACAACCCAATAAATTACTTAATAACAAAACAACTTAAATAAAATTCAGCTTTTATATTTTGCAATGCCTGTTTTCAAGCCAAATCTCCTTGTAGCTGCAGTATGTAACTTTTATTAAAAATTTGAATGAGTATAACATATTTTATCAGGTGGACACTTTCATTTTCCTTAAAGTCTCCATGTTATGTATATTTTCAGTGACAGAGGTGCCACATGCTCACAAAGGGTGATTTTAATTTAAGGAAAAAGCAGTGAGAAAGACAAATATTAATAATACTCAATATAATAATTAGAATAGTTAGCATTAGTTTTGCAGTATGAAAAGTAGCCTGTCAAGTGGCTGCAATTTACACCAAAAATAAACAGCTAGAAGAGGTCTATCACCCAGCAAGTAAGGAAGCAGGTAGAGCTAATGTTACCAAATTGTCACCAAATTTACTAGCATAAACTTTTAATAAACTTACTTTAGCTCCAGCGAGAAGGCCAAGCGAAATGGCAACACGCGCCCGCAGTCTGGTCGGTCCTTTGGCCACACGTAGGCCACCATTGCAGACAGAATCTTGGTCGAATTCACTTCTTTCAGCTGCAGCGAATCAACATAAACAAAATGTTGGATAATTCCCAGCCTGTCTTTTAAAAATCAGGAAACATTAATAAAATCGTGTTTAGGATAATTTCAACTTTCTAATCTGCGTTCTGTCTGGAAAATATTGGTGAGTAATGCTCATTCTGCATTCAGTGTGCAGCAACCTTAAGACCACACTGTGGCAGACACACGGAACATCAAATGTCAGCAGGAGTCCCCTGAGAGATCTGACAACAGCAATCAGAGAGTTTCCAGGTGGACTTGGGCATCCTGTCTGACACTACAACTCCCAGGAGACACCTGGGCTGTCATCCCAGCTGAGGTAGAGAATCCGTTGGTGCCAGCGCGGCTGTTTACCCGCACTTCCACACACATCTGCCGTGGGGACTCTCAGCAGGCTACAGAATACGAGGTAATTCCTCTAATCCACTCAATATGGTGGCAACATGTTCCAGCCCTGCTGTGTGGCAGCTCCTTGGAGCAAATTACAGAGAAAGTGTATCCATCACCTGCCTTTAATCAAACACAATCAGGCAAAGTGTTACACTGCAAAGACAGCACAACTGATTTATATGCAACTTAAAAGAGCCTTAATATATCACAGTATGTAAAAATCTATATTCTATTTGATTCTAATTTATTCCAAAGCCGCAACAATAACTGATCAGATTAATTGACAGTGACCTGATAAGCACAGATATGAACAATCACAAGGTATTTAGATGCAGGTTTACTGGAATCACATTTGCTAGTATTGATCATCTATAAGTTGAAGTGGTGAAAAGTTAAATTAACTCCGACAATGTCAAATCAATACCCTAAATACCCGCTGACACGGGCACTTATTTTACATTAATTTCTCATTTACAACTTCCAATTATTGTTTATTTAATTGCTATGAATAAACAAGCAGTGTGAAACTTTTCGTCGCTGATTGGACCAATGCACAACACTCACCACATTTTTTGGGTCTGCACTCAAACCCCCTCCTGCGTGTCCATGCCAACATGTCCGCTTGTCCATCCCCTGCAAATGCTGTAGAAACATGAATAGAATCACTTTGTAATTTCAGGTTTGACTTTGTAAAACACACTTATTTTCAGCAGCTTGGAAAATACTACTCACTTTTAGCCCCTCTAAAATCCGACGGCTGCTCTCCAATCTGTTTGTGCTCCATGTCGCTGTTCGTAAGTGTGGAAAGGAGCTCAGCTGAAACACAAGAGATGCCGTATATGACTGCTGTCTTACTTTTGTTTACAGGGTCGTTTTTAAAATTTAAGCATGCTGAAACAGAATAAATACGGGAATCAGAAAGATTTGCTCCCTTATAGATTTTATACTTTAAACTTCCAGCCTGAATTAAAATTCAGGTTGTAAAAGTCAAGACAAGTGGTGCAAAAGTCTCTTAAATACTTTATGACAATAATTATTTGTTCAGAGACAGGTTAGTTTGAATAGCTTTTCACAAATTAAATTACCAGAATTTTTTTGATTTTATCCAGGTTATCTTTGTCTGATATTGAAATAGTTTTGCACTCTGAAACATTTAAGTGTAACAAACACGCAGAAACAAAAGAAGACAAAAACCCACAAAAGATTGTAATGTCTAACAAAACGAAAAAGGGATTGTTAAGAAGAGGCAATATTTCTGAATATTTATATTTATAGTCATATTGTTTATTTTGTCAAAGTGTTAGTGTTTTATCAGAGATAGAGTTCAAGTCAGACTTCCTTCAGAAATCTTCAGTGAGCGTTTTAAACACTGGCTATGTTTCCATCATCATGGAAACCTCTGTTTTAATCCTCAAAACAATGGGTTCAATCGAAGACTCAAACATGTCAAGGCATGCTCCCAAGACATTTCAGAACTTATGAGTGTATATCTGCAACAGAATTTTGTTTTAAGAACACTTGCAGTCGACGTAGGATGAGAGCTACAAACACGCCTACAGAAGCTGAGCTGACTGTTAACACAAGATGTCTTGTGGGTGGATTAAGAAAAGCACATTGATCTTAAAGTAAACCTAACCCATAGTGACCCGTTTCTATTGTTGTGCATAATTCCATGGTTGAATATCTATATATACACACACCAGATTGTTGAAAAAGTGAGTGAGCAAATATTGAATCCTTTTTTTCTAATTAAACTATTTCAGCTTTAATAATACAATATGTAATGATTTATTGCAACTAAGTATAAGTTAGGATGCTTCTTTTCTCATAAAGTGGTGTTTTTGGTGATTTTACTTTGATATCTGAAAGTAAAGTCCTAACACTAAAAAGTTAGGACAACACTGGAACGAATTAGAAAGTACATGTAGAGTAATACAAAAATCATATTGTGATTATCTAGAGTATAAATACCTTGGCTTCAAGTATTAAAATGTTGCTTTATTATTTGTAGCAGTTGGAATAATTATGGATTTGCATTTTAAAAATACAGCAGCTAAGTTATGTTGCACATTATAAATACCTTGAAGCCAACAATAATGTAAAACATGACTTAGTTTTACATTGAAGCCTAGGTATTTATAATATAAACATGACTTAGCTGCTGTACTTTCATAATGCAAATCCATAATTATTCCAACTGCTACAAAATAATAATGCAATATTTTTAATGTACAGCAGAGTCTATAAATGCTTTAGGGGTATTTTCATACATACATCTAAGCAAAAACACAGATGTACAGTTATGTTCTGAATAGGTTCAAGTAGTTTTCGAGAATATCAGGAATAATATGCACCCCTCCCCATTCTGGTCAGGTAGCCAGTCTGGTGTTATTTCTGGTACTTATTTATGAGATCTTTGATTTCTATTTTACTTAGTTATACTCATATTTTACTAGCTCAATATTTATGCAATATATTGGTAAATATTGCACTGATATAAATTGCCATAAAAGTCTACTTTGCTCTTGCTTCTATCTCAGTGTGCTTCCATCGCTCTGACCTTTAGTACTATGGACAATGTCTGTCATTTGTGACCAGTGTGAACATCTGTTTTGCTGAGAGAAAGGCTTGTTACTGAAACGTGCTACACAAATAAACCTGACTTGACTAAATATTTGCATTAGCCCATACTATTTGTAATATATTAGACAACAATTATTGTACTTTAAACACTGATTTGCAATACCGATATTGACGACACCAATACTGCTGCGATAAATTAGTTACAAAATTCAACCCAACTACGCCTCACATTTTAGCAAGTTTTTTTAAACTTGTTTTTACCATTTTTTTTTTTTTACTTTTGTGGTGTGGTTTCATCATATTTCTGTGTTTTATTTCACAGAGGTTATGGCAACGAGAACCTTTCCTTAGATGCCAGATCCATCTACAACCCAAACCTCAGAAGTTTCTGAGTGGATGTGTTTTTACGGATGCAGGCAATCGGGTAGTAAAGAGGGCTTATTGACTGTTAATGCTTTATTTTCCAGTTTCTCCTTACATGTTTCCAATGACATACAATAAATAAACTCTGATTTCGGTTGTTGTCTTTTCCAGTGAGCAAGTGCAGAAGTACCTTCTGATTAAAAAAAAATCAGAATAAACTGGCAGCAGAGTCAGGGGCTTTCGTTGATCATTGCCAAATAATCCATAAATTTGTTGACATAAAATGACAGTTGTATCGGCCACAACACGAGTGGACCCGGGTGGGACTGAGGGTCTTATCTAACCAGTCAGATGGAACTGGAGACACGTGACAGGGACTACTTTAATGCTGCACCGTCAGCTCACACACAGCTGATACAAAACGCTAATAACCTGACGCAAGGCTCGACGCTCACACCTCTATCCCCACATTTCATAAAACGCAAGATTGTCGGGTAATGACGCAAAAGAAAGGTTAAGAGTAACTTAAGGTAGCAGTTAGCTACCTCAAACTTTAACAACCCATGAAAACAGTAACTTTTGAATGTCAGCAAATATTTTAGGAGAGGACCAACAAACGACAACCAAGCTGAAGTATTTTATGTCACACTAAAAGTTAGTTGTGGGAACTTCTATATGTGCCCTTGCGTAAAGAGTGTGTCCTCTCCGACCAGACGTCCCGTTTCACTCACCACATATGTGTTCTTCTGTCGTTTATAATTCCTCCCCTCTTCAGCGCCGCTTTATTCCAAACGTGAAACGAGCCGGTCTGGCGAATAAGAAAGGCCAATTTTCTGTTTTGGAAGTGAAAGCCGCATTTTAGCGGTGCCAATATCGGCCATGTTTCACGGCGGAGGAAGACGATTAGTCAACACGCCGGGTCATGCGTCACATCCGGCTTACGTTGCTAGCGGAGCGTAACTGTTAGTAGCAGTCAGAGGAAACGGGGGCTTTTTCCATCCTGTTTTTGTCAAGTGGAAGAGATTGAGCAGACTTCGACAAAACGCGACAAAGTAGTTGGACCTATTTGAATGCGAGCCTCGTAGTTTCCTGGCCGACTGGTTGCCGTGTTAGTCGTAGAAGTTTGAGTTGAAGAAGCACGTTTCCCCCTCCTGTTACCGCGTTAGCGTGGCGCTCTCATTAAGACACGCTAGCTTGCTTTAGCATCGAAACGCTTTGACCTCGCTGCCAGGATGCCATGCCACAATCAGCAGCTGAACAGTGTGAACAGTGGCCAGGAGCACCCGATGAAGCAGGTTCGGTTTGCGAACAGCAGCAGCAGTGTGCCTGCTGTGCTGACCAGCTCTGAACCGACCGATGTCCCCACGCATCATCAGGCTGACCACGCATCGGTCAGCCAGGACAGCCTGGGTCCTCAGCTGAAGCTGCTCCCTCTGAACGACCAGATCCGAGAGTTGCAGACAATAATCAGAGACAAGTGAGTCCCCGCACCTTATATCTGAGCCGCAGATATAAGGTGCTGAGTCTTATATCTGCGACTCAGCACCTTGTCCGATTTGGTAACTTGGCCTTTGCAAGAGGGAAGTTGATGCCCAAAATAAGTGGACTGTTCATAAAACTGTTCATATGGTGAATTGCATGAGTATAAACACGTTCAAAGTGCAGTTGTTTTTGATAAATCATTTCGATGCTTTCCCCCAAATTTCATGCGACATCATTAATTTCAAAAGACAATAAACTCATATTTACTATAGTGTAATTTCAGTATCCAACATCTTCACTTAGAAATATTTTTCTTTTGGTCTGCAAAGGTTATGCAGATCTTGGATTGTTAGTGTGGAAGATGTGCACAAAACTCTTGCTGGACCTTTAATTGGTTATCTTGAAATAAAATACTCCCGTCTTTCAGACATGTGGAGAATACAGTAAAATGTTGGTAAATGATGTATTCATACCTCTGGCAGAATGACATAATGTAAAACAGAAAACCTAAAGTAATCCTGAGGGAAGGTCTGTGATTTCGATGCACAGATTGAAGCAAAAATATAGAAGCAACACCAGCAAATTGTGGAGTAGATTTCAGAAGCAATCAAAAGTTTTTGTGTGTTTTTACATCTTTGCATTTTAAATTGATCTAACCTTTGCTGAAAATTGTCAACCTTATTTTGTCCAAGCTGAAATAAAGCACTAAAGTGTAAAAGCGGAGGCTGATCTAATCAAGTGCCTATTTATACTTTCAGAACGACCAGCAGAGGAGATTTTGTTTTCTGTGCGGACCGACTGGTGAGGTCATATACAGCACAGCAACATGGTAAAGCCATTTGTTTCCAGCTTTCTGAAATAATATCTGTTTTCCCCCAACAACAGATCAACTAGTAGTTGAAGAAGGCTTGAACCAGCTTCCCTTCTCAGAGTGCACCGTCACCACTCCCACAGGTCAGAGGGTCAGGTTTAACGCTCCAGATTTGAAAACATGAGCCAAAACACTGAACCAGTTTTTTCTGCTCTGCTCCACTTTTATTTTTTTGCAGCTCTAGTCAGTACAGCTCCATTTTAAGTCCGTGTTTCATTTTCCTTCCCTTAGGGTACAAGTATGAGGGAGTCAAGTTTGAAAGGGGCAACTGTGGAGTCAGCATCATGAGGAGTGGTAAGTGAGGCCAAGTGCAGCATCTTACGGCTTTTAAATGTGAGGACACTTTAGTCTGTGAATCTCGACTTCTATATTTCTGCTCGTGTGGAAATATAAAAGTTTCCTCAAGCGCGGAACTTGATGACAAAACTCTTGGTACTGATGATCCATTTTTTGATTAACTGATGGGAGAGAGGATGCAATTGACAGAAGGCAAATATGTCGGCACACCACATAGCAGGCCGGCCCACATAAGATAATCAGTAAGACAAAGTGCTGCTCATTCTCACAAGCTTAAAATGTTTGCCAGGTTGGTCGTTTTTCATCACTCTATGACGATAAGTTACAATAAGAGTGATTGATTCAAGGTTACAATTTTATATTTAGTCATTTTTTGCCAAACATGAGCTTTAAGCTCATTTCAGCTGTAACTTAATGTCAAGGATGAGAACATTGTTGCCCAATCGGCACAGTAAATTACTTTCTAAAAGCTGCACATGTCATCAGTGTGTGATGCAAGTCTAAGCACAAAGTCGTGTTGATCTCACCCGTGTCGACACATCTTTAATTACACGTTGCAGTCCAAACGAATGCATTCTGTGTTTTTGTTAGTAGGCAGTAGGACATTTTGTTTTTAGTGGTAGTTCTGCAGGCTTGCAGCAGCTCTTTTTCTCGACATTGCTTCTTCGCTCGAGCATCAGTCGAGTCACACCAGAAGATTTTCAGAGTTGTTTCTTTTGTAGTTAGCAAGCAGCTCATAAACGTAAGGGATGAGACAATGTTTTCTACAGTGCTGACACAGAATTGATTGTAATTTGCATTTATAGGCACTGTATATCTAATAGTCTGCCACAAAGATGAGTATAAAAGTTAATTCCTGTAAGCTGAAAGTTAAGAGCTGTTAAGAGCTCTTAACTTTAAGAGCTGTAAGCTGAAATATTTCCCTTACGAAGAGAATCAACTAACAGATCTCTGTCTCATGTCTTTTACATTGAATTTATTCAAACATGCGACTTTCATTTACTGAAGGTCTTATCTAGATTCCTCAGTCCTCAGACTTCTTCTTTGGCTCCTCACCTCCCTCCTACCTTTAAGCATGAACGTCACAATGTGCTGTCACTGTCAACACAAACATGACAGAGTGAAAAAGCAAACAATATGTATAAAGAAAAACTGTTTGAGGATCTTCAGAAAGCTGGCGAACTGTTGACAGAGATCAATTTAAAGGGTTAGACGAAAGCCTGTTTTTTTTTTTGTTTGTTTTCTTTATTTAAAGCTAGTAATGAAGAACCTTGGAAAAAGTTTTTATTTCGTAGATCATATCTGTAAATGCGTGTAGTTAAATCTACAGCGATAGACTGACTGTGTATTGATATCGTATTGCTTTATTGTCAGAGCATAGCTGAAGTTCGTCTTGCATAACAGCAGTTTTGTTTACAAACATACATAGGGACACATGATCAGATAGAATCCACATGTAAGCCTGTCACAACAATCAATTCATCAATCGCATAATTCATTAAAACAAACTGTTTTCATTCTGATCATTAATATATAATTGGAGGGTAATTTTTTAAAAGTATTTTTTAGTATTAATTTCTGCAACAATTATTTTATTTGAGATTATTTTTCCCCAGATTTCGATAATTATGGGAAAAGAAAACTGAGCTCGGAAACGTGTATTTCCAAACTTTATTCTCTGTCCTAATGTCAGAATATCCCATCCATTGACTGATTTGTTTGTTCATCCATCAATTTCAGCCATCAATCCCAAATTGATTGTTTGGAAATTTCAGTTTGGAGCTTTGTGATGACAAGCATGTGGGAACCTTGTCAACAGAACCATGTTTGGTTTCCACAGGTGAAGCCATGGAGCAGGGCCTCCGGGACTGCTGCCGCTCAATCCGGATCGGAAAGATCCTCATCCAGAGCGACGAGGAGACCCAGAAAGCGAAGGTCTACTACGCAAAGTTTCCCCCGGATGTGTACAGAAGAAAAGTGCTGCTCATGTACCCCATCCTCAGTGAGTTGCTGCAGGCTCACCTGGCTCCGGTTAACCACGTCCAGTCGTACAGAAATGTCAAAGCGCGTCTAATTAATTTTATGCAAAAAAAAAAAAAAAAAAGTTTTTCTGTATTTATTCATTGTAAGTAGTCTCCCTTGAGTTGACCTTCACTGCCACCACCAACTCTGCATTGCCACATCATACAGAACCATTCACACTGCTCTGATAATTATAGCTCTCATGGGGGAAATTATACACTGCCTCAGAGTTAGCCACCAGGCTGCAGAATAACATAATGAGGACCAATGAAAATAGGATCCTAATAGTCCTGGTTTCCTGATGTCACAACAGGCATATTTCTGTTGTTACTTAAAAATGTAATAGAAGCAGAGCTTGGTTTAAAGATAATTTATTTATTTTTTTGTCTCATAACAATGGATAGTTTAACTAACAAGAATGCAATTTTTTTTTCCCTCAGACGAAGTGTCCAGTGTAACCAGGCAGGTGAAAGAGCACGTCTAACCTCGTTATCTGCTGCGTCTGCAGGTACAGGGAACACAGTGATCGAGGCCGTCAGGGTACTGATAGAACACGGAGTCCAACCCAAGCACATTATTCTTCTCAGCCTCTTCTCCACACCTCATGGTAAACCAGCACACACCCCCATTTTTCTTTTTGTTTCTGCTTTCTCATCTTTTATATGCATGTGCAGGATTGTTCACTGGTGCTTTGGTGGCTTTTGACAATATAAGTTTGGAAGTTCTTAATTTCTGTAGTTCCTATAGCTTCCATCCAGCTTACAGTGACATTTAATGTGGATGTTAAAAAAGGATTTCAGGGTAATTTGACTTTGTGACCTTTCCTCCTGTCAGGTTAAAACTAAAACTTGGACATAAGACATATTTAAAGCTGAAGGGCACGATGCTATAAATGCATTATGAGATACTTTTTTTTTTCTTTTAAGAATTGTTCTTGGCACAGTTAGAAAGTGTGAGGTTGGAGATGAGACAATGTGAGGAAAAGAACAGAGAATTGACACGTAGCCAATCCAACCTGCTGAGAACTAAATCAAGAACCACATTCCTCATTTCCTTCCCACTTTTCTCTTGATGTTGCATCTAAAATCTGTTTTTGTAAACTTTGACCTGCTGTGACTGATTGTAGATCATGTTAATTATAAGTTAGAAAATTAAAGTAAAAGATTATTCAAAATCTTTTTAGTTGCCATGATCTGTTATCAGACAGAAGCAATAAGATGAATGGTAAACTGAGTAATAAAAAATTACCAATCTTTTCAATCTTACAAACTCACCATTCGAATCGCTTGTCACTAAAGGCAGTAGAAGGAATTGAACACACAACTTCCATATTGCATGAGTGCTACTCTCCACTAAACCATGATTTGCTCCAGCAATTCTCAGTTTTAGCATCTTATTAGCAATCAGCATCAACAAAAATCAGCAGCCTTCACGTTTATTTCCCAGAGCAGTTCTCTACACGTTTTGATGTTTCTGCTGATAAACTGGCTCACGTTTGGAGTCAGTTTATCACTCATTTATTCAAATATAGAATTTTCTTTTTATTGCAGTAAATCCGTACATAAGCCAATTCTCTCAAGTTGCAATTTAAGAAGAAAAGTTTGAGTTTCTGAAATTTAAGACCTTTGAGATTAATTTTCTGTTGCATTTTGTGCTTTTAATAATTCATGTTTCTACAGCTGCGTTCATCTATGTCACTGCATTAGGATGTTGAGTTGCCCATTTTAAAGTATCATCCATGTTTCCTTTAGGAGCCAAGTCCATCATCCAGGAGTTTCCAGACATCACCATCCTGACCACAGAGGTTCACCCAGTGGCACCAACATTTTGGACAGAGATACTTTGGCACTGACTAAAACAGGACAAAATGCTTTTGGTATATTTTCTGCAGGCTTTGTCTCTGTATTCATGCAGTACCATTTACTCAAGTTGTTGAACTGACACCTAATGATTGACCCCAGTACTTTTATTTATTGCTCTCTCTTTTTTTTTTTTTGCTTCTATGCTCAGATTGTAGAAAGAAAATCACAAAGATTAAAACATGATCATTTTATTTTGCGTTTGTATGAACATGATCAATAAAGAATTTATATTTGTTTACAGAGAACAATACAAGAAAGTGGATTGAGGTGGGGTTTTTTTGTACATTGGTAATGGTTTAAAAAAAAAGTGGAAGCACCATTCACCGTATTCGAAACAGTTAAAAGAAAAAGGAATTCATCTCCTAGCTGCAATAATCTCATGGATTTTATACATTATGGTTTAAGAAAAGCACACCACTTTAAAGTTTGTCACAAAAGGATCAAAATATACAAACACTGCCTGTAGCAGGTATAAATCAGTGGACCAACATACAGGAAAAAAGGAATGTAACAATAAATAGACAAGACCATATGATACACTTATCAACTTCATCAATATTTCATTATGCTTTATACACACCGAACATGGTTTAAAAAAAAAAATCAAAATAAGTATTTGTCACTGGAGCAGCATCAGATATGGGTTTAAACAGCTGGGAAGCATTTTAAAGTCTATTTGGAACAGCATCAAAGCTTATTAAAGGCCAAACTCTTATTTTTAGGCTTATAAGTAAGGTTTAAGTACAGAAATTAAGAGTTATGCAGGAGATCCTGTATAACTGTTTCTAAGTTAACATTTTACAAAAATTAAAACAATGCAGAATATCACCGTCCTCCATCAGTAAGTTGATGAGAACAGATTTAATAAATATGTACAACAAATGAGGACAGCTGGTATGATGGAGGATAAACATAATAGTAATGTTCAATGAGAGCACTCCAGAGTTCAGCAAACAGCATCCAAGTCATAATATACAAGATATTCAGACTATTACTTCTTTCAAAAGAAGAAACGATATGTTCGGCCTGCAATGAAGCTGTGCTTGCTTATAGTTTTTCTGTGATATGTCCAATCAGATAACATTGTTAACTTCATTGCTTCGAAAACCACGTTTTTTTGTTGTTGTTTTTTTTCCCCAAAAACTCCACCATTTGCCAGAAAAGGATGATGCAACGATACATTCTCAGGAGAAATTTCTCCACAGCACACAGGAATACTTATGTAAGGCGCAGGTCAAGTCAGATCTTCTAATATGCTCATAACCTTTTGTTAGAGTGAAATCGAAACCTATGTTACATTGGGGGAAACGTCAAACTGATTGGCCAGCTGGGTCCCTACGTTAGACCTCCGCAGGCCTCAGGGTGGATTTTAATACCTCCCCTCCTGCTGAGAGGGATCGTTAAGGTGCAACACTGGAAACGCAGCCCAGCTGTGAAACAGAGGCATGTAAAATAGCACTGTACCACACAGCATCACCAACAAACCAATAATAAATAACATATCCTTTTTACTGAGGTAATAGGTTTTCTTCCTAAATAAACCATAATTTGTACCACAACTTGTCATCCATTTTATGTTATCTTTCCTCATCATGTAAAACTTAATTGAAAATTGGCAAAAAAAAAAAAAAAAAAAAAGAAAATTAAAAAAAGATCAGAATTCACCATCACCATCTCCAGCATTTCCCCAACTTCCACATTATTTGGAATGCAAACACATCATAACAAAGCATTTGATAAAAGTCAGTATTATCTGTGCATGTGCAGGTTAGTCGTCCATCTCGATAGTAACGGAGGGATCTGCGCCCTCCACTGGAAAAAGAGAAAACTCATTTTAGTGGGCAAATCAGGAACTTTTTGCAAGATTTTGTTCTAACCGATGGGTTTCATAAGGGAGGATTGTTGCATTGTTTCACCACTAGGTGGTAGCAGAGTATTCAAACAGCTGTGCATGTGACTGATGCGCCCAGATTCTGTTTTCATGGTTCATATCTACAGTATACAGTTATGATAAATAAAAACAGCAAAATCTAAGGGAACAAATCTCTTTAGTTTTTCCATTGGTATATTATAGAAAACTTTTTTTTCTTAAGGGATCCCTGCCAACATGGAATAAAATGTTCCTAATTTTTCAGTGAGATTTTGCTACAGCAAAAAATAAATAAAAAAATCTGTTTATTTAAGACTACATTGTTCTCCCTGGAGTAAAGTTCAGAGAGCGCTGCACAGTGTACTGTATCAATATCCAGCTCCTAAGACTAATCAGTGGAGCTACTGAAAATGATTATGTAGGGGGGAAAAAAACTTAAAGAAAAAGATTCTGGAGCATATCTGAGTAATGAACAGTAAAGAGAACTTACCCAAACTTCCTTCTGAACCATCATCTGACTCATCCCACATGTCCTCGTTAGCTAACAAGGGGTTATGGGATTCAGAGCTCTGACTCCTTAAAGGGAAGTAGTGACCATTCCCTTGGCTGCCATAATAACATATGAAAAAGGAAATTAGTCAGTGTATTTTTTATAGACATACACAACTACTTCCCTATTTTTCTTAATAGTGATTTTTGACATCTCAATGATAAGATAATTTACTTTCTCCTTCAGTAATTACCTTGTGAAAACGGGGATGAACCACAGTTTGCGGTCTTCTCCAAACACTTGCAGCAGGTTTTTGTGTAGACCAAGACTGAACCCGTTTCTGTCAGGTCCACTGACAAATACTGGAGCTGAGAAGGCCTCTACACAAACGGAAAGGGAACTGTAAATTAGAATACGTTTTCATGCCACAATTTTCCTGATTTCCTGGGATTGAAAAATACAGACATCACATAAATGGTTGGATGTTCCCTGATAAAAAGCATGTCACCTCTCACCTAAAGTGGATCTGTTCTTGGCCACTAACCAACAGTGGTAACTGAAGAGAAACATGAGACTGACAAAGAACATGAGTGCAACAAACATGAGGAAGAGGATATGGAACTTGGCAGGTCCATTTGGTAGGTCCCCCTAAGGACAGAAAGAAACAGGAGACATTAGTTAATAGGAAAACCAGTGGCAAAAAGAACAACTAACCAAAAAGAAACTTTACAGTAAGATTACACTGCAAAATATTTTTTAAAAAATTAACAACAATGGCACTCACCACCCAGAATTTGAGAAAATACTGAAGGACTGTTGCTGTGATGAATACACAGTACAGCATCGAGTATGCGAGGAAAAGTAGGAAAAATTTGTAGTTGGAAAAACCAACACAGTTGTTCACCCTGGGTGAAAAATAAGATCCGGTTATCAGGGAACAGAAAGAAAATCCATGCAATCAATCTACAAAGTAGTCCAAGTTCCAACTTACCAGGGACAGTGATGGTCCATCTTTAAGACACAACTAAAATAAAAATATACTTTTTATGCATCACTTCCAACAGTAATTGATCTTAAAACAGTATGTTAAATCAGATGCTCTTGAATTATTGTGCCAAATGAAGTTTCAAGGATAAATGTTTTTCATGATGATTTTTTCATCCAAGTCTCATCATATTAAATATAGAAAAATATTAACTGTCTGAATACTAAGATATTTTGTTTGTTTTCTTTTTTACAAGCATTTCTGGCATCCACAGCGTTCGGCAAAATTGTCAACTTTCATGTCCCGTCACATTACAGCCACAAGCTTCAAGTTGTCACACTGTTGCAGAGCTTTTGGGGTGTGTGTCTCAGATGATGGGATGTAAAGAATCTGTAAACATCAGTTTTCTAGTCCTGCCACAAATTCTCGGTTTGATCTAGGTCTAGACTTTGACTGGACCATTCCAACACACAAATATCCATTGCTGTTCTAACCGCATGTTTAGAGTCAATCTCCTCACAAACCTCACAGAACAGCGAGACTAATTATACTGAGATTAAATTCCACACCGATGGACTATATTTACTAACTACATCACCTTTGAACTTGCTGAATGGATTTTCTTTAGAAACAGAGTAAAATGGGCTGAAAACGAACACTGTACTTTAAAAAAGATTTTACATGTAAATGATCTTGAACATTCTCTATAACTTCCTTCCAGTTTACATCTACTACTGTGCTGACCCACAAAATCCCAATGAAATAAGTTGAAGTTTGTGGTCATAATGTGACAACAACGGGGAAAAAAGTTCAAGAGGTGAGCATGCTGTCCGTCTTCTTCTGCCAAAACAATGCACTGATTGATCTTCAGGATTCTGTTTCAAATGAACAGAGCAGCATTCTCCTAATTATCACAACAGCTAATATATCTCCTTGCCGGAGGGTAATCTCTCGAGATTAAGGTATTGGGGAGGAAAGAGAAGCTTACGTTTCACAAACGGAGCAGTGGTGACAGCGGTCAGGCTTCAGTACCTGGCAGCGGTCACAGAACCTGATAGCTGGAGACAAGAAGATGGACGAGTTGAATGGGCGACATCTGAGCTGAGCATCCCCCCCTTCACACACTTCCTGCAGCCTAAGATTGGACTCGTAATCACCACTAATGAAAGAGATGCGTCTGCTGATTGCTGCTCCAGAGAGCCTTCAATTGATAGTCCTAACCTACTTGTTTTTAATCAAACACAGACAACGTGAGGCAGCTCACCTCCAGATTGGGTTCGGGTGAAAATGGGCAGTTTCCTTGCGATCTCCACGAGGATTTGCTTCTGAGCGTCTGGTCTCTCCTCCATCTCGTACCGCTGCTTGTCTGAGTAGGACAGCTGGAACTGGATCATGGCATAAAGGCAAATTAATCAGATTCCTCAAATTAATCAGATTTGTCTGAGAACAAAGATCCTCAGAGGCATACAGAGGGATCACTCCTCATCCAGAATCTCATTTAGATGCATTCCAACAGAAATGAGAACTTTACCAACATTTATATGGTAAATTTCCACGGGCAATCTGGTGTCCAGTCTACCTTTTTGCATGGTGTGGCAGGAGAGGTGAATATGGACTTCCAGTACGTCCAGGAGAACATCCCAAAGCAGACATGGAATACCAGCAGATAGACCGCTGTACGTGGAAAAACAAACCAAGAAACACAGAAATCAACAAACCTGAAAATCTAAGATATAAAGAATTCAACCTCACAGCCCCGAGCGCTCACCTTTCTCCAGTGTGTTGCTGATTGTAACTGTTAAAACAAGAGAATTGAAGAG